ATCTCAAAACATATGAAAAAATTGATGATAAAAAACGTGTGCTTGTAACCTTTTTAGACTTGGCCAAAGCATTCGATTCTATTGATAGGCATAAATTAATCACAAAACTGCAGTTGATAGGCGTTGACAACCCATCACTTGACTGGTTCCGCAGCTATTTGACTGGTCGATCACAGTTCATTACTATCAATGGCGAAAATAGTGATATCACTAACATTGACTATGGTGTCGTCCAAGGAAGTAACCTAGGCCCTCTTCTCTTTTTAATATACAGGGTGTTGAAAATGTCTGGAACCAACATTATATCTCGTGAGTGGTTAAAGAAAAACAAATGATATTTTGTGTACGGATATACTATGGTTTTACCTATCTTTTAGTGCCTTATGAAAATTTTTACCACTTATAGGGAACGTCCTGTGGAGGATGCAGTAAAAAGTTTTAATGGAAGCCTATGGTAAATGATACATCATTTTAAAGGCCATTTTTTTCTGAGTAAGGAGCCACAAGTTTCATCTCAAAAGGACCACCCTAGCAAAAATGGCGACTGTTTGAAATTTTAAAAACCACTTATAGGGAACGGAATTTTTAAATTTCAAACAGTCGCCATTTTCGCTAGGGTGGTCCTTTTGAGATGAAACTTGTGGCTCCTTACTCAGAAAAAAATGGCCTTTAAAATGATGTATCATTTACCATAGGCTTCCATTTAAACTTTTTACTGCATCCTCCACAGGACGTTCCCTATAAGTGGTAAAAATTTTCATAAGGCACCAAAAGATAGGTAAAACCATAGTATATCCGTACACAAAATATCATTTGTTTTTCTTTAACCTCTCACCAGATATAATGTTGGTTCCAGACATTTTCAACACCCTGTATATCAATAACATTATTAAGTTAAGAGTCAATGGTAAATTGTTTCTTTTTGCTGACGACACAGCGGTAGTGTCCTCGGGTAATACGTGGGACGATGTCTACCATCAAGCTGCATCTGTCTTACTTAAAATAAAAAATTGGCTGGATCATAATACATTGACATTAAATGTATCAAAAACCAAGTGCATGCCAGTTTTCTTATCTCGAACTCGTGACCCTGGCCCTAGAAAACTCTATCTTCACTCATGTGGCGATCTGTGGTCTAATACCTGCGGATGTGACACAGTCGATCGTGTGGACCAATACAAGTACCTTGGGGTGATCATTGATCAAAGGATGACATGGTCTCCTCATATTATCTATGTAAAGCAAAGATTGAGGAAACTGGTCTACGCCTTTTACACACATACACTGTAAAACTTACTTTTGATACACTGGCGTGGGGCAGTGTATCTGCTGCCACATTGGCTCCTCTTCACGTAACCCAGAAAACCTTAAAAACATTATTCAACGAATTTACTTTTTTCCGATTTCCCAGTTTTAAATATTAGACAATTGTTTATCAAAACACTATTACTTTTCATTAAGAACAACAAGGAAATTATTTTTTCTAACTTACAACACAGTTATCACACTAGACACAGGCATAACTTTGGATACCGCACTCCACAACTAGCATATAGTTTGTTGAAAAATAACGTGTTTTACATAGCTCACATCCTTTATCGCAACTTGCCGCCCAACATAACTGATGCAGAATCAGGCAGTGTCGCTGTGTATAAAAGCAAGGTCTGTGAGTGGCTGATGACTGTGGGACGAGAGGCTGCAGAGGCTTTAATTCGCTTGCCTTACATTTAAATTAATCTCTGACATCAAACGCTGCCATAATAGCCATCAAAATAAATTTTTCTTCATAGATTAATATTTTTATTGTTGCTTAAGGCTGTTTATTGTTAACTAATTCTAGTATACAATATATTTATATAGCATATATATATATTTACTAGCTGTAACCAGCGGGCTTTGCCCCGTTTAACTTCTTAATTTTCAAGATTATCTCGTTCGCATGGCTCAATCACGTCCTGGTTGAAGTTTGTTCGCTACGCTCACTCACCTATAGGTTGAAGTTTGTTCGCTACGCTCACTCACCTATAGGTTGGAGCTCGTTCGCTACGCTCACTCACCTTTAGGTTGGAGCTCGTTCGCTGCGCTCACTTGCCTTCAGGTTAGCTCGTTCGCTACGCTAACTCGCCTCTAGGTTGAAGTTTGTTCGCTACGCTCACTCACCTTTTGGTTGCAAATTAGCTGTTGTCATAAATGTAAAAGAAATAATAGTGCTGCACCCTGTTGGTAATCCTTGTGACTTTAATGCTATTGAACATCATAGAACAGAACCAACTTGTTTAATTGAAACAGCTGTTAAGATTCAATAATTCCATTTCTCATAAGGTTAACATGGGAAACTCCAGAGCCACTGGGGCGGAGCCCGAAAGGATTTTTGAAATAAGAATATGCCTATATGTTAATCGCGAATGTGAGCTATCATCATGCCAAATTTCAGCCCAATCCGACCAGTATTTTTCGCGTTCACTTGTCACAAACATACATCCATCAGGGTGTCTACCAACCGGGAAATCCAGGGAAACCGGGAATTGTCCTTAAATGCCAGACTATGTCCTTAAATTTTTAATGGGCCATAATTTTATTGGTCGCTAGTTGGTTAGGAGCACATAAAAGGTTTATCAGATGTTTGTTTACATTTTCATAATTTATTACTAGAGTAATTATGCAATAAAAATCCCATTAACAATCTCAAACCCATTAATATTTTATCACCATAATCAAGTGTCAAGTCAAGTACTTCCAAGAACTGTTGACTCAGCAGCTAGCTCATAAAAGTTGTATCACTTTTATTCCTTTACAACTTCTTTTTTTTATTACTAGGGTAATTATTATTAGATCTCAAACCTATTTTATCGTGAAAATAATAGCTTTTTAATGGCTGTTAAATTTCACTTCTTACTTGTACTTTGGCTTGAAGATCAATTTGCCGCGGCCAGTGCCTAGTGCCATAAAACTGTTTATGGTTTCATATTAAACATTTAAATAATCTACAGTCTTATTTTGTAAGTTAAACCCTTTTTTATGGATATTTTATCTTTCAATTGACAAAACCACAATTGTTGTTTGCATTAATGTTTTATCACTATGTAGGCCTGCTTGGTTTCAAATTATGTCATTGCATTTTCTGTATCTTTGTCTTATATTGTTGGCTATTCAGGTTTCAATGTTTTTTGTTTCCCATATATTTATTTATTGAGTTGTATGCTTTAAGCAATCAAAATCTTATGAACTACAATTATGATAGTGACTTTGATGCTATTATAACCTCATTGTTTGTTACTCAGTTTATATATGCCCTCCTAAATAATTAGGTCTAGGCCTGGGTATTTTGATTCTTGAAAGAGCTGTAAAATATATTAAGAAAATGTAATTGAGCCTAAGATAAACAACTAATGATTGCTATGTGTCGATATTAACTTTGCAAATGAAAATACAATAATCTTACTCTGTGCTTATTGCTTATTAATAGCCGCTTACCATACCTTGATTTTTTACTAAGAATTGAGTAACAATATGCATTAAAGATTTTTTTTTCAAAAGTATTCGAGAACCTAACGTTGTGCCAGGGCGAATCATGCCAAATTAATCGGCCTGGATCGGATAAGCTATGTTATGAAGTTTACGTGACTGATGGAGATATTTGTCGCTATCGCAGGAGACAATGGTTGCGTTTCTCTGTTACACTATAAAAGCTTTACCTAAAGTATAGGTAGGCCTATGTTTGTTTACTTTCAATAAATTTCTATTTTGTAATTTTTAACTCTTATCTATTATTATTTACTCTTCTCTCTGGTACAACTACAGTGAATAACAAGATTAATAAAGTTTGACAAATCAGGAAAATTATTCGGTAGGCCTAATGACACCGACAAAGGTTACGGCAAAGTGTCCTTAAATGTACGGGAATTGTCCATGAATTTTTTATCCAGAATATAGTAGACACCCTGATCCATACATCCATACATCCATCCATACATCCATACATCCAAACTTTCTCATTTATAATATTAGTAGGATTAAGAGCTCCTGATATGTATTAAGTACAGATGTACACATTATTTATAAACAGTGTGCACATGTTTTTGACCTATGGACAATAACCAAAACTTATTTCCTGCTGGTAAGAGCTCTTCCCTCGAGCACGGACTTGCAGTCCATTCGGGGAATACTATTCGTACCCTAATAATGTATTCCTGTATTTATAAAGGTGAATAAAGTGATTTTTGATTTGATTTGATTTGGTTTGATATTGAGATGCAATTTTTCTGAAATATTTTCCTATCGACGCTCATCAAACACAACCCCCCATCAGACCATTTCCATTTCGGCCTCTTTACAGTATTATTTTTCAATTCACATCAGGCGTAATTAGATCCTGGAATGATTTCGAACGTCTTTATGCCAATAAGTTTCCCATAACTTAACATTTTTTTATACTTTATCCTGCTTCTAGGGATGGGGGAGGGGGCAACTGCCCTCTCTGGGTACGCCCATGATAAACTGCAAACCAGAGCTTATAATTGAACTAATAGTGGTTTGGTTTAATTTGTTAAACTTTGGGTACATACCGGTAAAAATGTTACACCACAACTCACAAGTTGCTTGGCCTCCATTCTTCACTAATCCATAGCTATAGGTCTACCCTTTGTTTATGAGTCATAATAGGACTTTGGTACTCCATCCTGTCCTCGATTGGAGTGACTTGTATTGCTTAGTCCAACTACATTTCTATTTAGGCTAATAGTGTTTATGATCTACTGTGCCAAATGCTTTTTAATATGTATTTTTTTCACATTTCTTATCACTCAATCCGTTGTACACATTATCCATAAAATGTTTCATCTCAGGTATTATGTTGGTACAGTTCTCAAGTTTTGACAATAAATATGTTCTGTCCTAGCCTATATCAATTTAGAATTTGTTGACTGTGCATATGCTTATAATTGTTATTTAGTTAATTTCTTATTTAACAGCCTCCATACTACTGTTTTAGTTATTTACAGGTAGCGACGAGAGTTTTTATGATAGACCAGATCAAGAGGATGAAGATGATGCAGATACCAATCTTTTTGACGATAAAGCGCATAAGAAATCACTTTCTAAACTGAAGGAGACAGATCCTGAATTTTACAAGTATTTAGAAGCAAACGACAAAAAACTTCTTCAATTTAATGTGTCAGATAGTGAATCAGAAGCAGAGAAAAGTGATAATGAGGATCAAGTCCATCAACCTCCTGAAAAACTTGAGGTGGGAATTTTTAAACTAATTTTGTTGTCCTAAATGCATAGTTGTTGCAACAAAACCTTAACCATAAGAACCCGTAACCATTAAGAAACTCTTCCTACACTTGAGCGTGCGAGTCACTTCTTAAATATGGATTAAGATCATGGGGAAATGACTCAATATCAGAATTACAGAAACTGCAGACGGTCCAAACAAGAATATTAAAGATAATCACTAAGCTTGATTCTGCTATTGTAATAGTATATTTCACTACTAGTCACGTAAGTGACCCATTTCGGGGCGAGATAGTGTATTACATGCGAGTCGAAGATGAGCGTGGGAAACACTATTGAGCACAACAAATACACAATAACCAACACAATATTGTATGATTTGTATTTTGTCAAGGTATATAAACTTATTTTTATAAAAGTTGTTCAAATATTAGTTCACGTTGTGTCCAGTTGACTTACATATTAAATATTGCATGTTGAAAGATTAAGATATTTCTGTAGTAAAAATGCTTTAATTAATCAAACAATCATCAAAGCTGGCTCTTTGGGCCTGTGAATTGCGGTAAATTATCTCCTCTGTTTTAATTAATGTGTCCAGTTGTCGTTTCCAACATGAACGATTTGGCCAACGAAACGATCATAAATCACATGACTAAATCACCAATGTGTGCACCAAATACGCCACAATCGTTATGAACCATTATATTTGCCAAAAAATTTTATAAGAATAATAAGATATAAGTATAAATTACAAAATAATAATGTTAGTGTATAAAAAAGTCTTGAAGAAAAACTGATGCAAACACTAAGCATTCGTATGTTTTACGAATAAGAATTAACTACGGTTCATAAGCCGTCGTAAAAATCATGAAAGTAACTTCAGTACACACACACCGAGCTGAACCACAGGGCAGCCGGCCCAAGACTGAATTGCAAGGCCAATGACTAGACCTGTAACGGGGGGGGGGGGGGGGGGAGTTTGAGAGCAGGGCTTCGGCGCCAAAACAGTTAAATACTAACTGCCGTCGTAAATATTATGAAGGCTTAGTGGCGACCATAAAATGGTGCAACATATTACCAGCTCACCCCTAACCCACAATTCCGTGCAACTTTCCCAACTTCCAAATGCTTTGTAATATTATTGATGATTAATTCAATTCCAATGACCACTCTAAGATGGCTAAATACCTTTGTACCCTTATCACTGACCCTTGAAAATTCTTTAACATAGCTACATGTACAAACAGTGTTGTTCATGTCAATAAAATGGTATTTTACTAATATCTCACATCATACAAGAATTTTGCTCATATTGAACAGGTTAAAAAGATAGACAAAATGTTTAAATTGCAATAACTTGTGATGATGTGGAGTAGTATGAGTGTAAATGAAGATACCTGGGCCCTATATATCTTCCTCTAACCACTGCCAAATCACGCACATTTCCTGTCGTAACCCAACTCTATTGCAAGAATTAATCTAACTCGTCAAAGTGCACAATATTACCTTAGCTGCCTATCACAGCCAGCTTTTATGTTCATAATGTATCTAATTATAATATAATGAACAGAGAAATATATATATATGGACATATTCTAATTCGTGAAAAAGATTACTAGACTTAGCAAATGTGAATTCAAAATTAGTGATAATAATTACCCGACCACGACCTTTCGAGAACCTAATAAATTACATAATTGAATTACTATCTACCCTAACCTACACCCTTCCCCAACCCCTACTTCTATTAGCTAGACATCTTAGGCTACAGTTACTTATCCGGTTTAGATGTACAGCTCCAGGCGCTCGACACTACACTACTGGTCTCTTGGCTCGCTGCGCGTGCCTAGCCTACCCGGGCCGACTGCGCGCGCATCCGCGTCACGTGACTTGCGCTATTGTAGCGACTCGCTACATCCTCCCCCCGGTGGGGTTGTTTTTTTTTTTCTTTTCTTTTCTTGTTTTGGGGTGATTTTGGGGTTTGGGAAAGATGAAGGACGAAGAATTTTTTTTTTTTTTTTTTTTTTTTTTTTTTTATTGTGCTTGCCGTGAGATTGTGTCGTTGTGACATCGGTGTCGGTGTGGAAATGTTCCAACAGTTTTCTGCACTCCTTTTGGTTTGGCTCATTTGAGGTTATAATGTGTGTCGGTTTTGCTTATAAACTATTAACTATTTTTTTTTTCCTAAACTAAAGGTAACTATGGTTTTGAATGAATTTCTTATAACTATGTTTGGTGGGATTGCTTAATCTAACCCTGCTCTAAAAAAATGTGGGCGGGCGTATATCAGTGATAGATTTCATTAAGTTGGGTTGAGAAGGATCTGTTTGCTGATGAAACTGGATATATGGCTGATGATGATGAATTTGGGAATGTTGTCGAAATACTGAAGGTTGATGAAATTCGATGGATGTACTGAAGTTTGGTAATTGCTGGTAAATATGGAAGGTTGCTGAAGTTTGATGAGTTTCTTGAAGTTGAGTAGTTGGAAGAATGAAGCTGTGTAATTGAAGAATGAAGCTGGAGCAATGTTTTGAAGTTCTTGAAGGTATACTGTTGTGATGTGATGTGACGTAGTTTCGTAATTAGCTCTTGAGCCCTTACTAAGTTCGGGGCGCTAATTATATCGCTGGTCGTCTCTTACTGTTGAATAAATGATGTTGAGTTTTGAAGTTGATATGCGGTTGATGATACGTTGACTCAGATGTGAATTTGGAGATTGTTTGTTTGATGTTTAATTATTTTGGTCTTTGTTATCACTGATATATTCCCTGGATATTCGGTAAAAATTCATCGCGACTACTCTACTTAAGTTTACTATTGATACTTATGATCTAAATGAATTTACTAACAATAAGAAATTGTTCTACCTAATAAAAAAGAAATTTAATTTACTGAGGATAAAAGGGAAAAAATCTAATGTTTATCTACTTAAATGCTATGGATTTGATTGACTGGGAGATATATTACTAAATTTCTGTTGATTTACTAATAATTAATTAATTAACTAGTGTGACACACATTATACACTCTTTCAGTTTGGATGCTATTCGTGGTTGAATGGAGTTTCGAAAGTCTGTTGGTTGATGTAAGGAATGATAGTGTTATTGTAAGTGTACATTCATTCGAAGCTCCTCTAGTGCCAATTGTCAACAATTATGCACAGAGGTATTAAATAATAATTATTTATTCCACCGACGGCTTAGCACAACTTAATTTTTTAAACAAATATTGTTTTAATATGTTCCTTCAATGTGAAGGATTGATCGGTGCTTGGTTTGATTATTTATATAGGGCGGAAGTAGAGGTATGAATGGAACAGATGTTTGTACTGATAACGACGGTGTTATCTCGTGTCTGGCGCTTGCTATTGTCTGTTCCCTACTAGTCCATTTCTTCTCTGTCACTCAGCAACATAAATATATTTATATATTTTTTGTATTTTATTTTAACGCATGCAAAAGTGTATAACACATAATAAACATTTAAATTACCCTTTACAAATATAGTACACAAACTCTTCTTCTACGCTCAGAATTCTGCTTGTTATTTACAAACATATGGATTGTAGTGTGCGCTGTTATCTACTTTGATAACGATTGTATTACGCCTAAATACCATATATCTTATTTTAATATACATGGATGACTTTGCTTACTTAATACTTTTTATGCTATCTCGTATTTATCTTTGTGACTCAATTGTTTACATTAACACTGAAATACTTAATTTTACTTAATTCTACTTAGTTCTACTTAGTTCCACTTAGTCCCACTTAGCCTAATTACCATAGTTTAAAGTCTAGCTTGGTCTGTAGTCAGTTGTCTCGTTCATGTGCTGTCATTTTTCAGTCCAGTACTGTTAGTGAGTGTTTGTTGTCATAAGTAAGCTGTCGGCTGCACTATTCATATGACAGTTGCAATCTGTCATAAGAATGTGTTATGGCGAACGATTCCCGTCATAGCCAATTTGAGCAAATAAAAAATAAAAAATTACTTAAAAAAAAATTAGTCGTTTGCTCAGATTGTAGGTTTTAAGGGGATTGAAAAGGTTGTTGATTACGGGGGTCTTGAAATGCATACATTAAGTACAAACACTATGACGTGTTTCGCTGCCAACTTGCCATGTGTTGTCGCTTCCGGCTTTCCGGCCAAGCGGTGCGTCGAGAGGTGTAGCCGCACCCTCTGTGAAAGTACGGCTTAGACTCAACTCCCAACACCCTATCAGCCGGGGCCGGAGTTGTATTGTGTACAGTATTGTTGTGAAGTATTGTTGTAGTCAGTCAAGTTACTCGAGATTTCTTGCTAGATGTTTTACTTATAACTAATTAAACTAGGCTAAGGTTCTATTGTGCACTTTGACGACGTTTTTTTTAATAAATTGGCTGAAAAAATCGTTTCAATTGTGAAATGTGGGCTTTTGTCACAATCTTACCTGTTGAGGGATTTACTAGCTTTACTGACACTGGTGATGAGAAACTGTCAATCACGCACGGTTTTGACCAGGCGTATTGGAGTTTATAATTGACGTTGTCTATTGCTTTGGACTGTGGGTGCATTTTATACATTACCCAATCGCCTACTTTGTAAGGATTGGGTTGACGACCGCTGTTATAGTATTGTGTGCGTTTTTCTCTTGCCTTCCGTAGGTTATCAAGTGCATGTTGCCAGCGATTGTCTGTGGTTGGTTGAGATTCTTCCCCAATTAATTTATTTAAATCCCAGGCTAATTGTAGTGGATGGTTAATTTCTCTCCCCAAAAATAAGCTTGCAGGTGTCGAACCGGTGCTTTCATGTTGAGCGGAGTTAAATGCTATTTGAAACCAATGAATGTTTTGATCCCATGTTTGGTTGTCAGAATTGTGATATATCCTCATAGCAACTTTAAGATTTTTATTGACTCTCTCTACGTTGTTTGCGCTTGGGTTGTACGGTGACGTAAATATGTGTTTGATTCCGAAGTTTAAACACATTTCCTTCATTTGTTTCGATTTGAAAGATGGTGCGTTGT